CGTGTTAAGTAGGTACAAGCACCACTAACTACATCCGACCGCATTTCAATTGTATGAGTGTCACTCAATGCAAACAGTCGTCTGTTCTGTCTAAAGCCGCTTATAAGTGGCTAGAACCGATGCACATGCTCAGAGCGAAGCCTTTTTACAAGCAACACCCAGAACAGCAATCGCTCCTCTGGCACAACCACATTTCAAGTGGATTCATGACGTTCGGGCAGAAGACACTGTGACGATGAGTACTGCACCGCTTTCCGTGCTGCTAACAGTGACAATCACATTCATCGGTGTGGCATCGGCTTCAGGTGATTTTATGGCAAATTGTCTTATACAAGCTATTATATTATTTGAAAGTATGCACCTAATTTGTTTTGTCTTGTTTGCGGTAAAACCATGTGGTAATAACTACTGTCACTGAGTATATTTACTTCCGATAAGAACAGTCCTGCTTAGTTCTAAAAAGTACTTGAATAGATGAAAAGAGAATGTAGAGAAGCAAATGTAGTCCCAAAGAGTCTCCGCCTACGACACCAAGAAAACAAGAATACAAGAACATTCTATACTTAAGGAGCAGCATCTCCAACTCTCCTCTGTCTCCTGACGATGACCAGAGCTGGCTGGTCGAAACGTTGAGACCAAACTGATCTCACTCAGCCTCAGTGAAGATAATTGCGAGAAGTCCCACCGCCTTTCAACCTACTTGGCGAACGTGTAAGCAGAACAAGTTCTTTTTAGAACTAAGCAGGACTGTTCTTATCGGAACTAAATAAACTAAGCGACAGTAGTTATTACCACATGGAGTAACTGCAAACCGAAACTATATCGATGCTTCACTATGCAGAGCCTGAAATATTAGTAGCCCTGACTGTTCTATATCTCTGTTGACACATACTCGGGTTTTACAAATGATTTTCCAAGGTCCGACGCTTTCATATTTTTCCCCCAGATTGAGTCTTTGTTTGCACAAATATTGCAGCAGATACATTATTGAGTGTTCATGATAAACAACAGCTTTTTTTCTCACTCGAGTGCAGTTGATTTCCGCGCACTTCGATATGAAAATCCTTTTAATATTCACAGATAATCATCAATTAAGTTATCGACATTTGATACACACCAAATGCGATAGCATGCAGTGGAAGTTTCCACTGCTCGCCACAGTTAATATTTAAGCTAGCGCCAGCAGCTATCGCGGTTAAGTTTAATTATTAAATCAAATTGTGCAAACCGGTCGAATATCATTTGATAGTCTGTGCCAATAAAATGTTAGATTACATTACTTTCATTTTTAAAGATCAGTCACATTGTCGCAACCGGCTCCTTCGCCTCTAATCAGTGAGCGTTGCAGCTTGATAAAAGGCCCAGAATCAGAGAACAAATTCACTGGGAAATTGTTTTATTTTTTTTTAAAGCACGCCAACAGTTCAAATACAGGACTGGCCAAGTGAGAAATGAAACATTTGTTGTTTGTAAATTTGCTAACATGATAGTTAGTGTTTGAGGGTAGTTTCACGGTCGGACATTTGTTCTTAGGCAAGACGAGATTCGTTAAAGAGGAGCCTTTAACCCAGCAGAGACATTTCTACTTACTGTCACCTTTTGAGTCAGCCTCGCGCTATGGAAGTTTAAATCCAGTGTTGATAGACGAGTTAATTGTACTGCCAAAATTGCATTTTGTCATGCACAAATCTCAGAAAGTAGCCTTGACTGATATTACATGACTGATGAATTAAAGTCACATGATGACGACGACATTGTGGCGCCACTTAACTGTTCGTCAGTAACTCGTTGATGTATATAATTAATTAGGAAAGGACTTGTACTTTGGAAGATGTGTCGTGGTACTTGGGTTCGAATATCAAAGGGATACCTTTCTTCCAGGTGTTCATTTGCTTTCCTGAATTCCATATCTGCTGATATTTGTGATAAGGTATGCATGATCCTTGTCCATGTAAACGCTCTAATACATTGTTAGTAGTTGATAGGTACAAGTACTAGAACTACATCCGACCGCAGTTAAATTGTGAGTGACACATGCTAAGTCGTCAGTATGCACTCGCTTAATTAATTACTTGTGAATTGCACCAGCTGTTATCTCGGTCAGCTTAAGTAGCGATGATGCGCATGGTCAGTGCGGCGAAACCCATTAACAAAGCTACACCTGAACTGAGAGATCTCTGGCAGAATCACATTGCAAGTGATTCATCACCTGCGGGCAGAAGAACTGCGACTATGAGCTTTGTACTGCTTTCCGTGCTGCTAACAGTGAAAATCACATTCATCAGTGTGGCATCGGCTTCAGGTGATTATATGGCAACTATCATTGTCTTAAACAAGCTATTATATTATTTGATGTGAAAAAGTTTCGGTTTGCGGTACCACCATGTGGTAATAACTACTGTCGCTAAGTATATTTACTTCTGATAAGAACAGTCCTGCTTAGTTCAGAACTTGTCTTGTTATCTACTTTCAAGATATACCAACGCTCTTGTACCAAACGTTGCAAACTGAAATAACCTGACTTTTTCTGAAGAAATGTAGAGAATGGAGATGCAAATGTAGTCCCAAAGAGTCCCGCCTACGACACCAAATACAAGAAAACAATTTTATACTGAAGGAGCAGAATCTCCAATTCTCCTCTGTCTCCTGACGACGACTAGAGCAGTCTAGTCAAAACGTTGAGACCAAATTTATCTCACTCAGCCTCAGTGAAGAAAATTGCGAGAAGTCCAACCGCCTTCCAACCTACTTATCGACAGTAGAAAACCACAAGTTCTTTATAGTACTAAACAGGACTGTTCTTATCAGAACTACATCTACTTAGCGACAGTAGTTAATTATTACCACATGGTGTTACCGAAAACCGAAACCACTATATGATACTTCACTAATTGCACCCACAATTTAACTTACTCATGCAAAGAAAATTAGTTTTCAAAGTAGCCCTGACTGATCCAAGGTCCCACGCTTTCCCTTTTTTCAATATTACTCTTACTTTGCACAAAATGTTGCAGCAGATACATCATTACGTGTTCATGATAATCAATGCTCTGATATTCATTAAAAAATTCGATGTCATTGCTTGAACATACAGTAACTGAACAGTAACTGCATTCGAGTGCAGTTGATTAAATATATCCTTTTCATATTGACAGATTAACCATTCAATTAAGTTACTGGAATTTGATACGCACCAAACGCACGTAGTAGTGCATGGAAATTTCCACTGTTCACAACGGCTAAGCACCGCCGCATGCGCAGCTATCGCGGTTAAGTAAACTTGCCTCGGCGCGTGAAAAAAAGCGAATACATTGCGCAACGACGCGACGCCGCATGCTCAGTCCGAACCCCGTTATTTTACAAAGCAAAGGAACTTTGTCATAACCAAATGCTTGTGTGGCCTTCACCTCTTTCGAACAAGAGACGCTGCCATGGTGACCATGATAGTGAACAACTGATCTTCGGGTTATGCTGATCTTCGGGTTATCAAGTGTTTTGCATAATGAAACGTGTGACGATGAGCATTGCACTGTTGTTTGTGTTGCTACTATCACACTACTGGCATGGGGCTCAGGAGATTATTAGAGCAAATTGTACAAACTGTCATAATATTATTTGATAGTCAGTGCCAATAATCAATTACAACTAATTACATTACTTTAATGTTTAAAGACCAGCCACATTGTGGCAACCGGCTCCTGCCGGCGCCTCTAATCACTGAACGTTGAAGCTTGATAAAAAGGCCAAAAATCAGAAAGCAATTTCAATGGGAAATTGTATTTTTTTAAAGTTCGCCAACAGTTAAAATACAGTACTGACCAGGTGACAAATCAGACATTATGTTGTTGTCAAATTTGCTAACAAGATGTATAGTGTTTGAGAGTAGTTTCACGGTCGGACGTTTGTTTGTAGGCAACTTGTCAAAGCGAGATTCGTTAAAGAGGAACAATTAATTAAACAGCAGTGGCATTACTACTTTGTCATTTTTTTGTAATTGGCCACGCGCTATGGAAGTTTAAATCCAGTGTTAATTTTACTGTCAATATTTCACTTTCTCAGGCAGAAATCTCAGAAAGTAGCCTTGACTGATACTACCCTCGTTTTACACTTTCTCTAAAATCATTTGTATAACTGATATTCTAAAGTTTGAAGCTTTCCTTTGTTTCTTTAGATTGTGATTTTGCTTGAACAATTGTTTCTGTGGATATTATAACATGTTCGTGATAAATCAACAACACAAATATCGATGTCCTTGCTTGACAGTTTCTGAACAGTCACTGACTACCAGTCACTGAACAGTTACCATGGTAACTGCACTCAAGCATGGACAAAAGCAAACTATTTACTTTGTAGACCTACGTACTAGGCCTACACATACTGAGTGTCAAGAGGGCCCATGCATTCAGAACCCCCTCTGGGTCCAGTAACTGACATAACATTTGGTTTCCTGAATGAGAAATTTAACAGTGATACACAGTTGATCGGAAATGGAGATTGGAACACCTGCCTAATGTTCAAGCTATTTGTGCCGCACGTGAGCGTGTATAGGGAGAGGATAAGCCTATATTTCCCTCCAACTTTTGATCTGGGAATGGGCCGTTGGATCATCCCCCTAGATTTGTGTGAGGAGAAAAACAATGCTGAGTTGCGCGTTATCTTCTTACTTCCAACAGACCATTGTATTAAATATTAAAATAAAAGCCTAGATCAAAAAGTACGTAAAGTGCTTGACTGCGCAAATTTGTTTAATATACATTTGTATCACAAACAGCACGGCAGGTGTCATTTGGTTTCCGCCCCCCCTCCCCTTCCCTGCCCCCCCCCCCCCCATTTCCTAATTTCGGCATCGGGGAAATTTAGGAATGTTGGTATCCCTTTCCCCCCCCCCCCAATTATTTTTTTATTCAAGTAGGGACGTCGAATCGCTTTTACTGGACTATGGATGTTGGTGTTTGAGGTGCAGTTGATATTTCTGATCATTATGTCGCAGGTCCGAAGCAGGCGATGTACCTCAGCAATGAGGTGTTTCTTCTACAACGAGATTTAACTCAGCACATACGCTGCCCAGTTCCGAGAGAAGATGACCAATTTGAGTGGACCAGGGATGTTCTACGTGAGGGGGATTGGCATCCAACGCTGGTCGCCCGCTTTTCGAGCCCAGAATCCGGCACCAACTACACCATCAGCGATCACTATGGGCTGATGCCCTCCTCACATGACCTCATCATCAAAAATACAAAATTGAGTGACGAAGGAGTATACCACTGTGGTCCAAGTGGGAAGGAATTTCGGTTTGAAGTTTCTGTCTTGGGTGAGCTTTAATATAATTTTGACGTAAATTTAAGTTATTCCAACAGTATGTGTTCAAAACATATGTTCTATGTGTGATTGTGCGTTTAGGGCCTGTTTGGCTAACATACAATGTACATCTATATCATTATGCATTTTGATCATCCCCGTTCATTTTTGATAAAAGCTCTACCCTCCTCCTAAATCATTGCTAGGCCTATTGGCCTTTGGTCTCACAATGTATTTGATGTAAACACTGTACCCATTAAAAAATGGGCTTAAACACTGTCTCCCTCCCAAAAAAATAAAAATTTAATAATAATAATTATAATAATAAATACAAATCCCGAATTCGCCACTGAAGTAGGCCTACCTACATGCATTATGACAAACTGTGAGTATCACTTTTCTTTTTAGGAGTTTTTTCTTTCTCTCACATGCAGACACAACGTTTCCTGTATTTGATGATATTCTGCGTCCATCAAACGAAAGTCTGATGCTCCCACGAGGACAAATGCACATCATTAATTGTCCCGTTACAACCGCATTGGATATTTCCGGCCATGATACAGTGTACTGGACATTGGATGTTGGGAAGGAGAATTACACAAGCGTCATCGGTGCAGTATTCTCCGATGGGGAAGCCCTGGTTACTGATGCCTACCAAGGACGCTACAACATCAATGAGGAAAGGAATCTAGTCGTGAACTCACTAGAAGGCGCTGAAAACCGCTACTGGTGTAACGTTTTCAAGATACCCCACGGCCTGTCCACTGGGTATATCGACGTGACTGGAAAAGGTAAGAAGCATCACAGTGCCGTGAAATCTGCTTGTGTTTCCCTTTTTTTTTTAAATTCAAAACAATGAAGACTGAAAAAAATATAGACGGATGCTTGAAAACAATTCTTTTTTTCCCTTCAAACTTTTGGAATTGTCATTGTAAGAAGTAAATAGTCATCCTCCATACAATCCACCAGCGTTGGAATACACTCCGCACTACACATACCCTCGACTTAAATAAAACCGCAAGTCCCAAAAAAGGGTGCTGAACGGTACCCCCATGTGAATTTAGTGTGTCTGCTTGCTGTGCAAAATTAATATTTCTGTTTGTGGGGAAAAAAACTGTACACACGTAGTCATCCAATTCAAAATGACATGTTTTGCACAGACGCGGTTCTAGAACCAATATTTTTTTTTTTTTTTGGGGGGGGGCTAGCAGGGTGGATCCAGAATTTTTTTCAGGGAGGCGTGCTGAAATGTAGACCGGTTATTTTCTCCAGACACTTAGGCCTCCGAAAATCAATAGGGGGGGGGGGGGGTCCGGTCATGCCATATTTTCAATGAGGAGCGCCAATAAAGTCCTAAAATCATTCACACTATATTAACTAATGCAACCTTGTCACGACTATTTCTTTAGGGGGAGACCGTTCGCATGTACATCACAATTCTTCTTTTGGCTAATGCAATTTCTTTTTACGGAATTTATTTTTGGGGGGCTATACACAATTTTTTTTTTGGGGGGGGGGCTAAAGCCCCCCCCCCCCCTAGCCCCCCGTAGAACCGCGCCTGGTTTTGCACTTCGGCACACTGAGCTCCATCACAATGGTCATGAATAATTCATATACATTCTTTTGCGTCGGCCGAGTCGTTCCAGGTGACCTTCAGAAGCGGTCTATTTGCATGTCATTCGCCATATTCGTAGTTCATTCATAGAGTAACTGTACAGCAGTTGCGGTCGAGTTAATGAATATTCAAACCAAATTTGAATGAAATGCACACATACTGTATGACATGCAATATTCGCACCCCCCCCCCTAAAAAAAACTTAGGCCGCGGGCGTGCGTGCAACTCTTCACGGTACTGTATGCTGATTGGCTGATCCTCGAGTCTGTTTAGGCCTACGGAACATGCATGCGGACAAGTCAAGTCACCGCGTGATCGCTATATGATTATTACTTACTTCCCAAACCACCATGCGCTGAAATTGGCTGTATACGAATGAAGTGATGACATCATAGCTCATTAAAGCTTATGCATATTATACGTCCCTGAAGGGAATAACAATTATATAATATACATTACTGCGGCACAAATTCATCTTATGAATAGTTTAATTGCGGTATCCGCTGCTACATGTACATGTACATAAGATTCGAACCAGCCAACCGATCCCGCAAGCTCGGTGGGCACCAGAAAGCAAGAGCTAGGTCGTAGGTTCCAGTGTGTGTTGAAGTGGTTCATTCAGAATTTCCCTTGCATGATGGATCCACTTTATAAAACATTCCAATACCATTCCATTCCAATACCATATAAATTCATTTATTTTTTCAGTTACGACTCAGCAAGAGTTCCCGTACATTTCCGGCTGTGACAAATCTGAAGTCGAATGCTCCATCGAAGTCGACCAGATTACAAGCTTGAATTGTTCCGTTGCCAACCTCTACCCAATGGCCAACCTGTCTTGGTCCCTCTCCGGGTGTGAGGCGGGTGACAGACCCCCGTTTCTTACCAACACGTCCTCCGTCTTCGACCCTGGCTCGGAGACATTCAACCAGTCACAGGAGTTGACAATCTCAGGGAACACCACCTTCAGATGCACATTCACCTGTGAGGCGTCCGGACTGTCCATCGCTAATTCTTCCATTGCGAAATCAGTCAACGTCACTTGTAAGAAACCTTTTATCTTTTTATTAGATTGTCAATATCAACACAATTGGAAACAGTGGTTGACAATGGTTGCCAGCACTTGCCACAGGGCACAGATGTAATTTCTTGAAAAGTTGATATCCCGTGCCGTTCCAAATTCTTGGATTTACCTTTGTAAACACTTGGCAATGGACGGCTAAAGGTACATGCATGTCCCTGAAATGAGAATCTAAAGAAGCTGAAATGGGTTCATGCTTCATCAGTGCATGAGATCCGGGGAGGCAAAGGGATAGGGCATTGTTTTTTGAGAAAGAAAAGGAAGATTCGGTTTGGATGTTGCTGATGGTCTGAGATGGCCAGCCATATAGGGTCCTCTTTGTACCCATTTCACTGACTGACTGACTGACTGACTGACTCCCCGACGTCACTTGTGCTTTAACTAGTTGCAGACGGAGCCAGAGAGTTCCATTGTATAGGATTATCCTGTAACGTCAAAATGTGGAGGAAATCCAAGACCAAAATTACTATGAAAAGCCACTCTGGATCACTAAATAGATTGTTGTTCTCCCTGCACAACCTAATGACCTTTAAGTACCTATCTCAGGGACTGTCACTTGTGATGTGTGACTGGTCTGGGACCAGATTTACTAGACTTGCCTAGTCTTTCTTTTACATGTGTGAGCCTCTCATTTTGTTTATTCGTTTATTTTTAACAGGGAAAGAACACAATGTCATCGAGCAGGGAAACCCAATCGGCATTGCCTTAGCCATTGCTCTCCCTCTTCTGGTACTGGTTGTGGTAGTTATACCGATAATCATCGTCGTATGCAAGAAGAAAAGGACACGAACAGAGAACCGGCACATCCGGTACACCAAACCCCAAGGGGAAGAAAATGGAGTTTCTCCTTCCAAAAAAGGTAACACATTCAGTTTTTATTTTATGATATACCCCTCCCCCGAATGTGACTAACTTTACTATCAACCCACTTCCAATGCGATGCCAGGAAATAGCACGGTCCAATTTTATGGAGCTGCAGCTGTGTACGGAATCGCAGAAATAACTATTAGTCGGCCTATACCATACGAGAACCAAACACATTACAAATTTATAGAAAGCTGATGCCTGTTTATAACTTGCAACAGCTCACACTTATAGTGACCATCACATTTCCTGATATGTACTAATGCCTTTCTCTGATTTTTTAAATTTTCATTTACAACAATTTTGTTCCACATTTTAGATGACCGCGATGACAATGCTGCCGATGGAGCGGAACCTTTGTGTCTTCGGCCATTGAGTCTTCCGTGAAGATGTTGCCTTATATATGTTTCATGTTGTTTGTGTGAGGTCCAAATCAACCAGGCGACTACTGAAATGCCTATCTAGTAGGGGGAGCAGCACAATGAATTAAGCGGTGAATTAAATATGCTACTTGATAAAATGTTTTGTTTGTTTGTTGAATGAATGTATCCGCATGCTACTGACTTAGAGTAATTAGATTAGATTCCTTTATACTGGTCCCTAAGCCATATTTATTTCCTTTAAAGGGAATATACATCATCTGCTTTTGCTGTAATTTTCAGAAATGGATGGAATTGGGGGGTTGGACATATATAGCAAATATAGTTACACTGACTTTTTTGAGGTTTTGGGTTCAAAATGCTTTACAAACCAAGAAAAACCATAATTTTCCTGTAGTCTGGTCCCTGACTCCATTTAAGAAGAAACAGAGCAGTTTACATACATTGGGGGAATTGTAAGGTCATGGAACCAGTCTAGCTGGCTTGTACCCGTTCATAGGTGTGTAATCGATTGCAAACAAGTGCGATGGTCAATTGGGGCCAGTATTTGAAAAAAGCCAGTTTTTTTCCAACGCTGGTCGGCCCATCAGCGTTGGAAATTGATACAAAAATACCACTTTTCTTGAAAATGACAGTGTACCAGGTGCCATGATTTTACAGGATGCTTTACACTGTCATTCACTAACAGTCCAGGAAGGTATTTCAAAATGATTCGGTAGTTTTATTTTTTGATGTTTGCAAATGTTGTATTTTCCCTTTAAGCTCTTTATTATGTATTTGTATTTATTTCATTTTATTTATTTTGCTTTGTAATACATTTGTTAGCTGTTTTTCCATGCATAAATTAGATTAGATTAGATTTGGTTTATTGTAATTTATATAGAATTGTATACAAAAGAAAGTGTAGTGGTTTTCGTGCTAAAAACATTAAAATACATTACATTAAAACTTGTTTTTGTTGTTATATTTAAAGGAATATGAAGTACATATTTGCACCTTTAGAATATATTATAGATATTTATGTAATAGCCAATAGTAACGTCTTCTTTTTCGTGGTAATCTTTTGAAAGCATTTTGTGAATGAAGTTTACACGTTATTTAAGTACAAATTCAACCCTGACATTGTCATAAAAATGCACGGTCCCCACCGCAGAGGTCATTCACTGAACAAACGTATTTCTGTCGCGGAAAAATGCCACGTACACACGTATTTTGTTCATAGCTATCTAGTAGGCCTAATTGTATTTACTTTTCAAGATTTTTGTTTTTGGCAATGTGATTAGGTAGAATATAGAATACAGTTGAGTAGGCAGGTACCTAAAAGAAAAAAAAATTATATGAGTAGCACGTCCATATCATCATTTTCCCCTTTTGATCAAGGAGCGGGTCAAATTAACGTTAGTATGCCAAACAGGATGATCCTGACGGTCTTTTACTTGAACGTTCTATTTCTGCTATTTTATATCAATGTAATATTATGTTTCTCACCCATTAAGTATATAACGATTTTTTTTCACAAATCAGCGAGTTGTCATTTTTTTTTCTTTTTGAGTCATTTATAGACTTATGAAAGTAAATACTGAATGGAAATATAGACGATAGCCGGTACCGATAGGTTATTCCACCGTACACTTTCTGTCGTTGCGCCACTAGTTCATGACGAACGAGTATATATTATTATTATTATTAATTACCGATAAAGTTTTTGGTGTTATGAATATGCTACATAGTAATGGAATTAGTACATTGAATAATTTCTACAGCTGAGTGCTGTAAAATTGTAGTCTGTTGAATAAAACCCGGGCATTTATTGATGTGTCTAAGCAGTACCGGTAGGCAAGCAGCACATACACTATAACAGTAATCAACTTGTGCTATTCCATTCAGCTCATTCAAGATCCTCGTGTTAAAATCTTACATGGCATATAATTGGATTATATAATATAATGAATGATTTCTAAAGTGGTAATAGTGCATCCTATATCCTGTTGCAACAGCTAGACAGGTGTTTATTGTCGTATTTTAAATTATCAGTGGCACATGCACACTAGCAGTATTCAGTCTGTGCAATTCCATATTTAGTCATTTTTATTTATCGATTCATTCAAGAATTTTGCGCCATAAAGACATAGCGATGGATTTAACATAAAGCATATCGAACATTTATTATACGATGATAATCTTGCAGTCTGTTACAAGTAACAGGCAGGTATTTGTTTACGTTCTAAAGTGAAATTCCATGTTTGTTTTTTTTAGGGTATATACACTGTACCAATTTTTAGCACGCTCCTCAGAGCCCATCAAGCCATGGTAGATTTTATTTCCTGTTAAGGCAATTCTTCCAACTTCCACAGGCACACTAGCACTATTCTACGTGTGCAGTCCATTCAGACATTTTGTTCGGTGATCGTTAGTGATTGACCTACAGGCCTAGCTCTATGGTTACAACAACATGAGAAATACTCACAGTCTGCGTTGAATGCAGCGCACACTATCACGATGGGCCGACGCAACCGCAGTTTGAATCGTGTCTACACATCAGTACAAATGCTTGTAACCAACATTTGAAACTGTCTGGTCTGTCATCAGGCGATGGCCTGCTATACTTATTGCCGTGTCCTTGCTGAAAGCCCGCTAATGATTCAGGCAAAGCCAGTGATATGGCGGAGCATTGAGAGCGGCACCATTTTTGTTCGTGGCCAAGTACAATGGAATAAAAAGATGTCACGTGAGGCTGGAGGTACAGGGTTCAATATATTTAGTGCCTGCCCTGCCGCCTCAAACTCTATAGGCCCAACCGTCATTTCACAATGAGATTTTTCAGTTGAATTGATTTTGAATTATGTGAATTCAAGGAACTTCTGAGAGTTACATTCCCAACTTAACTGTAATCCTAAGAGAAATTGTTCTATTATTTTTTTTAAAATAAATACCTAATATTTCCACATACATGACTGTACGTGTTTCTTTTCTGTCAGTTGTTGAGTCAGTGTTTGCCTAGGGATGACAACAAAAAAATACAGCTTTTGCAAATTAATGCATATCATGATCATACAATGAACGTAGCATTTTTCCCTATAAATGGGGTTGGAGTCCAAAATCAACCTAGTAGGTATATGACGATCATAAATTGCCCACTGCATGTTTTCATTTCCGTGCTTGACGGCTGAAGATATGTAGCCTACGCTCTAAATGAACCATGGCATCGTGGAAACAACCATTTTTGTGAGGTGAGGTGAGGTATATTTCATATTTTCCCACAAAAAGTAGCACATACACATGTATTCAGGAAGTCATTTGTCTATCCGATTTTTTTCTAATGAACATAATGGCAATAATTAAGTCCCCTTTATTTTTTTTTCAATCGTAATGTGTAATACTAATGTCCCTTTGTTAAATCAGTTCCCTTTCCGTTGACAGATGCGTGGGCCCACCTAAACAAAAAGTGGAAGCTCTCTCTATTGCCTTTACCATGCTGGCACTACTTCAGTCTTGTTCCCTGTGTCGATAATACACTGATGATAATGTGGGTTTTTTTTCGCTCAAAAGGAGCCAGATTACTTTTTATTCCATCGCTTTGGTTAGGCCTACGTAGATTAGAATGGGGAAAAGGAAGGAAGTTAGCGACGCCTGAGCGGTCCAGGAATTCGCGAACTTGAAACCTAGTTATTTACAAAGGAACATCCGTTTTGGGGTGTCTTCAGTTTTTTCCCCAGTGTGTTAACCATGGGACTTGTAAGGATCATCATTGTGCCACTCCCCGTGCTGCTAACAATCACATTAATTGGTTTGGCATCGGGCTCAGGTGAGTATATTGATACAGGCCTACAAGTGAATATTCCTATACGAAATTGTTCTGGTTTTTTTGTGTGTGCGAGGCATTAAAACATTATATGAAAAAGTGTCCCGGTAAATGTCAAGATTAGAACACGAAAATGATTCAAACTGCTGCAAACTTATCACTGATTGGATTGACAAGAATATATGAATCAACAAAATTAGTTTGTTCTTAATTGCAGACCAGTCACGCTGTGACAACTCGCTCCCCCGCCAAAACGGTTTGACAATCGTTGAAAGTTTATAAGGATTGCATAGTTTTGCACCCGTCTTTCGGACCTTTAAACGTGTGAATATTTATGGCTGTCTTTAATGATTTGTGTTATTAAAAAAATATTTGATGAAAAAATGTTGGTAAAAAAAAATGAGAGCGGAGAGCTGTACAACTCAGTTTCAGGTTGCTGGTGGGGCTCAAGCGGTTTTTATTTTAGTTTTGTTCAGTGTGAGCAGTTTGTGGAGGACAGTATTCGGGCTTCATAGGAATGGGCACCTGATGGTTATATGTTTTTAAAACATGTGTAGTGTTTTCGGTTGCGTCAGTAAGATTCCCAGAAATTATTACGAGATAAAGCAGAATTTGTCATAGTGATTTTGCGTAAAGAAACAGAAATGACAAAAGTAGTAATTAACGAGAAGAGGTGCAATTTGCTAGTAAGTTATGCAGCAGCAGTTATGAACATTTGTACCGCTTTCCGTGCCGCTAACAATCACATTTATCGGTCTGGTATCGGGCTCTGGTGATTATATGGCAAATTGTCTTACGCCAACCATCTAAATATTATTTGATAGTCTTTACCTACTTTGATTTGAATTAAATATCAGCCACATTTTTGTAACCGGCTCCCGCGCCGCTGATCAGTGAAACTCGAAGCTAAAAGGGCTCAAAATCAGAGAGCAAATTTACCGGGAATTTGTAATGTTTTGAAAGTATAAAGTCAACAGTTACACGAATGGCCAATTGATCCTATTTATGACGTTCTGAAACCAGTACGATTTTCAAGTAGAGGGAAATCAGACAGTTTAGTGTTTGAATATAGTGTTGCCGTATGATGTCTGTTTATAGGTGATTACTCAGGGCAAGATTCGTTAAAGAGGAAGGAGCCTTTAAATAAACAGCAGAGGCATGTCTACTTCCAGAACTAAAAAGCACCTTTGAGTCGGTCACATGCTATGACATTTTAAATCCAGCGTTGATAAACTAGTTAATTGAATCCAAAAAATCAAAAGAAAATTCTCAAAAAGTAGCCCTGACTGAACTAGATTGGTCAAGCCAATGATTAACTTTGCGGGACAAAGTACGTACCCCTCTGGATCCAGTAATTGGAACAGCAGTTTTTTTCCTGAACGAAAAATTTCACAGTAATACATAGTTGATCGGAAAGTGAGATTGAAACACCTGCCTGCACGTGAAGGGT